ATGTCTTGTTTTAATCTAGGGAACTTTTCAGGTGGAGAAGAAGTTTTACTTTGATTTCAGTCTCAAAACATTATGTAAATAGTGTCCTGTGAATCCCCTTTAAATGGGACTACTAGATAACAAAAACTTTTCTTTCTCTGGAAAGAGTTACAGTGTCTTTTTCACCAGACAGTTTTGCATTGTGACGCATTTCCTTTCACAATCTCTCTGCCACATCCTGTCTGCACATGTGACTTGAGTATCTGTAGCCTACTCTCTCGTTCATGTGAGCACGCCAAGCCACATTCATCAATCCATTCAACTTCCTTAGCAACATGCAAGACACACGAGTGGGCTGCCACAATATTCTTTTGCACTTTTTGTCAGCAAAAAAAATTGAATGATTGTTACTGTTTCTCAATTCATGTTTAATATTATTTGAATTGTAATATCGGCATTCGATAATCTTTTTTTTTTTTTTTTTTACAAAAATGAAAAATAGATTATACTTATTTTGTGATAGGCATTTTACACAGGGTCAAATAAATGTTGAAATATTTTGAAGTAATACTACTGACAAAAGTAGTGACAATGGATGGGGATTAGAAAATCCTCTCTGCTCTTATACTTATCTAATCACATATTTACTATACATGCAGATATTGGCCGTTTGGAGGGATGTTGTTCCACAAATCTTTAGCCTACACCAGGGGTCTCAAACTCAACTTAACTGGGGGCCACTGGAGGTAGAGTCTGGGTCAGGCTGGGCCGCATCAAGTATTCCACAAAAAATAGTATTCAAGTATTCCAAAAAAGGAGCACAACTGATCCAATCTTCTCAATATTTATTATTAATGTTTCTTCTGAACTGTTCCTCTGAATTTGAACATTCCTTTCTGTACATGATTGGTTCTTCATGAGCTGTCCTTCTGACAGTTGAAGTTCATTTTACAAACTTTCTTTGTCTATAACACATATTTGTGATATTTATATTTGCTTATGTCCTTTTTATTTTCTTTATACAACACATTAATGATATTGAATGTTTTTTTGGAAGGCACATTTCCTTTTATTATACTTAGAAAAACAATTATTGCTTTTGAAATACAAATATTTGCAGTCATGTCTGCCCGTCTTATTGAATTCTTTCTACACATGTATAGTGTCTCAAATTACTGACTGCACAAATCAAAGCAAACCTTCTTATCAACCCGTTGGACACATATAACAAGCTCAAAATGATTATTCTCACATTGTTTTAGAGCAGGGTCTCTCTCCAACACGTCGCTCGCGAGCTTGGCCTGATTGGTGGCAGCTCGCCAAGCTCGTTCACATATCGCGCTCACATATTTTGCGCGCTCAAGTTCGTTATTTCAAATGTAGGCGCGCGGCAAGCGCGCTCATAATTGAAGCGACGCGCTCATTTTTTCCAGACGCAGTATGTTTGTACTTCGCGGTTGTCTTGTCTATGACAACTATTGACAACAAACCCACCGTAAACTGTCACGAGACTATCTATGGTAGCCCATAAGGGATAATTTTTTTTTTTTTTAAACGCGGCACACGCAACGACGGGCCGCACTAACATTAAACTTTAATGTCAAGTAGGGGGCCACAAAATATGTGGCCCGCGGGCCACGAGTTTGAGACCCCTGGCCTACACCCTTGAGACACTAAGCCCCGAACAAGAAGCTCTAAAAGAGACAGTCTGGGTTTCAACCAGACACCCTCATCTCATTTACTTCCTGTCAAAACGGACATCACATCACAGATCACACTGATCAAGGGTCCATTTCGCCCATAAAGAATTAAGCTTTGCTCTTATAATATCAGTGTGAAAAAAGCTGATACAGATACAGTGAAGATATGAGCTGTTTTATTCAAACCCACAAAACGTGAGAGTAAATGTTGCTAAGACATCAAAATAGCAATGAAAAAACATGGCTGCATACATAGGCTGATGTTGGCAGACAGACTTCCATTTCTTATTTTTAATAGCAGTTTTATGCTTTAAAAATCAGGGCCAATAGTTCTGTTCCTTTTCCAAATTAGGCAACAGCAAATTTATTTGAAGTCTATATATTATGTAGTTTAAGTTCAAACAGATTTAATTGTAACTCCAATGACATATAAAAAAAAGAAGAAGTTAATTTCACCAGGATAATTCAATGCATAAGAAGCTCAGTGCATTCTGGAATATTTCTCAAGTTATTATATAACATGCTCTAATTAAAAACATGCACATAGACCACAGACACAGACTGTTTTGTGTGAATGTTGGAAACAGTCAGTTCAGAAAACTGGAGTATCGTCACTGGCAAAGTCTCTCGAGTTTTGCATGATTTTCTCCAAAACGTTCTCCCCGTAAAATTAAATATGTTGTTGGTGCTGAACATGTAGGCTAATAGCCTCTTGACTTTTGGTACTGCTTACCGACTTTCCCATGTTAACATCCACACACTCTAGACTTTATGAAGACTATTGGCCTCTTTCAATAATGACTGCAAACAAATTGCGTATTTATATGCACAGACTTACGTTTTCGTGCAAAACTTCCACCGGAATCATCACAACAGTGGCCACGCACACATCTCCTACCCTCGTTTAATGCATGGTTTAATGTTGATGAACTCAAATGAGGGGGCGCGTGCCTGCAGGTAGTAATTTGCATAAAACAAGTCCAAACATATCCATATAAGGGCCTTCTGCACAAGAAGATTTAATTGATCTCACTCTTGCTTGTTTTCGCGTAGGCTACGTGTAGATTATGTTTATTCTGATTTTTTATTTAATTCAGATTAATTTTACGAATTTGAATAATAAAAAATGTTTTTCATTACTATTAATGAAAAAAATTACAATAGTGCGAATTTGAATAATAAAATGTTTTTATGCACACATTTTACGCACAAATACGTCACGTGCATAGGCTCCCGGGTAAATTCCTATGCAAAACTTATGGCAATGTTACAAGGGTGTGGGTGGTTGGTTGAGCGGTTGCTATGTGGTTGCTAAAGCGTTGGTTTTTAGCACGTCCTTTTGTGTTTGTTTGGTGGTTGCTTGGTGGCCCGTGTAAAAGTCCACTATCAAGTCTCTCTGACATTAATATTCTGGCCAGTATGTGCCTCAGGTCGCTTCTTTAATGCAAATACTGTATGAGATTTTTTAATCAATTTTAAGTATCAGTCCATAGCACACATGGTGCAAAACAAGTTACACATCAATGTTTACATTTTTTGATAGTGGTTTAGAACAAACCCAAGTAAAAGCAATAATACTGATGCTTACTTTAGGAAACATCACTAAAATATAAATAGATAAACGCGTATTCAAACTCTAGTATCCCGTCTGTACCAAGCTCCCATCTCTCTTGCTGTGCTAATTACATGCAACCCACTGTCAGCCTATTGTTTTGCCCAACCATTAAATGGCCCATTCATGGGTTTGCTTTAGGTCCCCTTGTCTTCAAACTAATTATGCATTCACTTTTTAACAATCGTCATGACTTAAAATGACTTCAGCTTTCGAAATCTGCTCAAAAACCCAATTATGTCTTAAGCTGACAAGTTACCCACACACCCTTCTCTATAACTGAAGACGAAACAATAGCTAATCAAGACACAGGGAGTTACGCAGCAGTACTGACACCAGCGACCATCCAAAGAGGCTCTGACGTAACGGGCACCGGCTGTGAAGGCAGACAAAAGGGAAACAACGTAAAAGAGAGCCATAGAAAATAGAAGGGGGGGTATTTTGTGACCTGGAAGGTCAGGTGCTACACTGGGATGATGATGCGGTTTGTGTCTTGTCAAAGCACCATGGGGGAACGTGTTTGTGTGTGCAGGCAGAGGGCAAGGGTTCAGCTCTGTCCTAAATGAAGAGAATCAAGGCTTGTGGTCTGGAATCCTGGGGTCACTCTTTAGATGCACATTCCAATGCATATTCCTAACAGCGACCCTACAATGAATTTGTTTGACATCACTGAAGGTCTCACAGAGCCAAGCATCAAAAGGAATGTAACCAGTCCCTTCATACTACAAAACATACAGTCTCTGCCCCAGAGGAAGCTGTTGTTTTTGAGGTTAGGAAAGCACATTAGACTGTAGTCTTTTGTATGAGCTGCCGGTATCGTAAGTGCAAAGAAAAATATTTTAGTAAGAAATCAAAGACGTCCAACACAATAAGAACACTTGTGCTCAAATGGCAGTGTATTTGTCAAGTGGACTTCTGGGAAAAATAACCTGAGAAATGGCAATATGAATTCAACATAAAAAAATAAAAAGCAAACTAGAGAAATTATAAGGGAAAAATCCTTTTATTTTTCAAAAAATAGAAAAGTTATTTACACATACATGCCAACAGGCACTTATTAAATATCCTTCAGGGCCAAAGTATTTTCAAATATAAATGATCAAATAAGAAAACTCCTTCATTTTGTACATCTACAAATAACAAAAAAAATAACTCACAAAAAAAAAAACATTAAATAAATAACTTAAACATTAACAAAATATGTACAAACATTTACTTCTTGATTTAAATGAAAAATGTGCACCAGAAAATAAAGTTAAACAATGTTAATAACGTTTAAGTAATTAATTGGTTGTTGTTTTTTTGTCAGCATTTTCACCATATTTTTATTTCTTGTTAACTGTTATATTACTGGTTATAGAATTTTAAACAATATTCCAGCAACAAATAGAAATGCATCCACATCTACTCAGCATTTTAGACAAACATTTAAGTTGCCCAACCAATCTTGTGAATGTTTTGTATTCAGGTTTTAAAAGCAAATGCTTTGAAACTTTTGGCACACTCAAACTAAATTACTTCTAATCTGTCCAAACACTGGAAATGAACGAGGCTCTCGATTTTTGAAAACACTTTTTTTCTTTTATCACTCGATTCTTTGGTTTGTCTTGGCCTCCCATTTTGGTCTTCAGTTAACTTTTTTGGATGCATTTCACATTTAAACATTTAGTCTTTGGCTAAGTGAGTCTTTGAATTTTAGTCCGTTATAGTTTCTCACAGTTTGCTTTCCTCCTCTTCCAGGGGTCGGTTTAGTCCGGGAATGTACTTCAACAGCCTCCGCCTGAAGCTCTTCTGTTTGGGTTTGCGCTGCAGTGTGCTGAACCCTCCGGACTGCTGTTTTTCTCCATTAGGGACCGAGGACGATGCCGGGCCCCTCATGTAGCTGCGTGTGCTGGCGCTGCGGGTCAGGGTTGTCTTGGCAGTAGCGAAGAGCTCGCTGGCGGGTCGGGTGATCCGTGGGCGGCCGCTTTGAGTCTTCTCTTGGTTTGTGTCGAGCTCGTCGTTGCTGGTGTTGTTGCCACGTTCCCCCTGGTAGATGCAGGTTTGGTAGAGTGGATCGTCCTCGGCCGTGGCGGCACTGAGGTGGCTCACGCTGCTGCTCGTGCTACCGGTGCCATGTAACGCGCGCATGGCCGCCGGGCTCGGAGCTCCCAGACTACCGTACACGCCGGCTGACTCTAGAGACTCGTACACAGCCACGTCACTCATTACGATGCCTGTGAGAGTGAAAACAGATACCTAAATTAACCTCTGGAAATGTTTTAAAGCAAGACACCAAAGTTGAACAGGGTAAAAAAAAATAAAAAAAAATGAACTAATAGATATCACCATACTTCCCCAGTTGACTGATTATAATAAGAATTGCAAAAAAAAAAATTTGTATTACAAGTTTTCTGAAATGTCATGTTTAAATATGCAAATAAGCCATTATCTAATTTATGTACAAATTTGCACAGAAATCTGAACATTGGATAAAGCCAGGTTCAAAATTCTTGTTTCATTTTGTTGACAGAAGGGCTTTTCACACTGGCTACGTTTACATGCAACCAAATACTCCGATAGTAATCGGATTGCCGGCTAAATCGGACTGAAAAGCCTTCATGTAAACACCTTAATCGATCCGTTTGAGCTCGATCCGAATGGAATTCCGATCGAACTGAAAACCGAAACTGAAAGGACTGCGCATGTGCAATGACGCTAAAATAGCGTAATGACGTATGGCACGCGGAACGAGCTGTTCCTGTTGAATAAAGTGTCATATAAATGAGTGTCCAGTCATTCTAAAATTCTCCTTTCACTGCTCAGCGTCTGTGAAGTGGAGCAGGACAACGTCCCACCAGTCCTTGTTTTGGATTCTCATCCACAGAAGACTGGTTTTGGGCATTTTTACTGCGTGATAAATATAAGCAGCACAGCCCAACGGTTCATATGCTCATTTACTCAATATTTATCCATTTCTGGTCATAATTTGAAGTCTGCTTTTTAAAACAAATAAAAGGAGAATAGTTAGTATGCGCAAACAGCAGGAAACTCTGTATATTCGTGCAGTGTGCGCATGTCAAAAAATCTATTCCGATTTGAAGCTTGGGACAAACGCGCACGTCAACCTGATCACATGTTTCGCGTTCATGTAAACACTACATTCAGATTCATCAATCGGAATGAATTCAGTCATGTAAACGTAGCCACTGAGAGTAACCCTGGCAAAAAGGTTGAATAGCGACTGACACAATTGGAGTGAAGAAGAGCGTTTCATTCTTATAGTCCGAAAAGTCCATTAAGATAAAAAAATTTGATAGTACATTCGGCAACATATGATATGAGGATGCGCCATGCTAGAGCCGTTATGTGCGGGGCCGGGGGGCGTTAGTCTAATCAGTGACACTGACACCACAAGTATGGACGTTAACACAGGGATTAGGAATGTACCGTGTGAAACGGCAGCGTATGAATACCAAGGATTAATTGTTAATCCCAGGTAATTTATAAGCAATGTGAAACGTGAAGCAATGATTCCATTTACCCGGGGTTTACGATGACCCAGGGTTAATTAGAAGTGTGAAAAGCCCTATAGAGTCAAAGGGTTTTTTGATATCTCTATCATTCCATAAATGAGAATCTACTGTAAACACATTTTTTACCATGTTTTTAGGATTGAAAATCAGGGAAATTCTATGTAAACAAACCCATCTGTAAAGAACCTTCAGAACATAGATAGAAATAAAACAGTTAAACGTTTGGTCTATGTTAAGAGCTACTGAAATGGCAATTTCGGGCTTAGTGGACAAATAGATGAATTGTGGTAAAATAAAAGTGTATTTTGCATGTTTTCTTTCCACTCGTTATGAAAAGCAAAACGCTCACAATCGACCGGTGCACAAAAAAAACTTTTTTGCCTGTAGTCTTGCATTAAAGTTAAATTACTCTCCGTTTTAAGATTTTTTTTATTATTAGTCTAAGAGATTCTGCAGAATAGTACAGTATTTTGTTGGTATACTAAGGCATTTAGTTCTTCATTTATCACCCTCTTTAAGTGTCTAATGCAACCTTGTGCTTACAGGAAGTGTTTTGTGGGACATAAATACATGCAAAAGAGCTCAGATGGCATTTGACACACTATGAAAACAACCTCATAAGCAATTGGTGGCTTATTCAAAGGCCTGGGTTAGCAAGATTGCTATCAAGTGCTAAAACTCACCATGCACAAGCCGCTGTTCTTGCACCATTAGAGATCTGTATTCATCCCATTTCTCATGCAGGGTTTGCTGGAGAGACAAAAGACAGTAAGAGTCATTCCACATGTCATTCGGCTGGTCTGTTCGTTTACTTTTTTCCCATCATCATCATAGAGAACAGGGAAGTGTGGTCAGTGAGGTCAGACTTAGCTCTCAGTTCTCTATCGCTACTTCTCAAATCAACAAGCCATCAAATTTGAACGAAATGCAGAGTTCTTTGTTGTCTGGGTCCATTTTTTTTTTTATCATAGTTCTTTTCGTAAAGTTAATTTGTTGAAGTAATGAATCAATGGTCTGTCATGATCTTTTAACTTTATGTAACTATCGACGATATTCAAAGTCAAGAGACGATAATTATTTTCATGTTATGGGAGATAACTGTAAAAATGCGATTATAATTGTATACCATTTTGTTTAAATAAATAAATTAAATTAAAATTAAAATCAATTGTTTTAAATGGTACAAGACAAGTAAATTTAAGCAGCACAACATTATAATGTACGGTGTGAAAAATGAACATTAATTTTAGTGTTTTTAAATATTAACTTTAAGTGTTATTTATATACTATTATAGTTTTGAATTGGATTTTACTTTTTCAGTTGTTTTCATTTAAATTTTTGTTTAATTTATAGTAATTGTATGTGACGGTGCCATATTTATTGTTTTTTTAATAAGCTTTAATAAAAAAAAAAAATTGTATTCACAGTTTTAGTTTCAGTAATTTGAATACTTCAACTTAAATGGAAATTTTAATTTTTAATCGTTCCAGTTAACAATAACTGTGAAGCAAACAAAAGCAATCACTGAAGCGTGAGCATAACATGATGACACATGTACTCTAAATGTAAAACAAAGTAAATAAATTAAACAATTAATAAAAAAAACTATTTATGTCTGATTACCAATATGGCCAATATTATTTTCCCATAAGCCATTTGATTAATTAGTAGATATTAGACATTTCAGTTTACTACTCCACTGGTTGACTTTAAATGAGTTTTTTTTTTAGTTTCCATTTAAATAAATTATTTTCTTTCAACCATGACAAAGGTGTGTGCCAAAACATGTTGGTTTAAAGTTCTCCAACCAACGATGGCAAAACTCTACCCATCTAGTTACATCATCAGCTCAGTTAATATTATAGTATTTATAAAAGAGAGCTTGTGCAACTGTGAATTTAAAAGAGCAGTGTAGCAAATATGACACGAACACATTACCAAAGTACCAAAATTAAACCGTATTCTTTTTGTAGTTAAACTTTATAGCCTAGGCATCTTCTTACACATATGAGAATGTCCCGAGGAATGTAGAACTGTGCCGTGCTTCTTTTCAGCTGTACTGCGGTATGTGAGGATTAAGACTGGACTGTCATTGGAACAGGTGGGGTGTGAGAGGAAACAGGTGTGATCAGCACTAGTGTTTGGTGCCAGGCCGGGGCAGCTGTGTTAAAGCTGGGCTTACATTACAACACTTGTAAACGTCTCGGTATACGCTGCTTGATACGTGCATGTCGGTTTGCATGTGGTTCATGTGACTTACCTTTAGATACTGCAGTCGGGCTTCCAATTCTGCTTTTCTAATAGAGTTGCTGTAGACCGTTTCTAGCCTAGACACAGGAACAAAATAACAGTGTTGCATGACAAAGTCACTTCCTATACTGTGCAGTATTACATGTCTTTAAACATTCAATCTAATAAACAAACCAATTCAAGTCAAATAGCTCTTTAAAACAGACTTCAGACCACAACGTGTCTGAATATGAGCTTAGTGGTAATTTAAAACTCCCCTTCCCCCAAATGTATATGATTTCAAGACCAGCATTGGTGATATGGATATGAAGCAGGAACCTCTTTTTACTGGGCTGCTGTAAACTCTCATTTACGGCATAACCCCATGTTTAAAAGTGGAAATAATTGAGTTAAAAGCCGTGGAGAGGGAAGGCATGAACTGCTATGCATTCATGTGGTTCACATCTACACTTTATAAATGGAGGTTCATTTTCACTGGCCTTTCATCTTTTATTAAACAGAAAATAAACGTGGGGACGGAAAGTGTGGTTCCAATCAAGTAATAGTAGATCTATTTCTTCAAGATAATCAGAAAAGACCACAGGTACACTTGAAACAATTTAGTTTCAATTTAAACTTTTAAAACCATTCTATTTCGGGGACAATGTGACTTTTGCTAATCAGACATGGAAGAACACTGAACATCTACATACCTAATGTCGTTGCCTGATGATTTAATGAGCTGGACGATTTCTTTATGGCGAAAGCCTTCCACAGAAGTGTCGTTCACGCTGGCAATCGTGTCTCCTACAAAGCCCAGAGAAGAGTGTTTAACTGAGAACCGTTTTGATTGGAAACTGTACACAAAACTGTATTTTGTGTGCTGTACTGCCTTAAGAGTGATAGTTCAACCAAAAATGTAAATTCTGTCATGATTATTTACTCACCCTCATGTATTTTGAAACCTGTATTGACTGACTTTCTTCTAAGGAACACAAAAGACGACACTTATTGCAGAGTGTCCAATTTCAACACAATAAAGGTGAATGGTGACCACAAGTGCTACGCAAGAGTTCAGAGGAAACATTTTCAGTGAACACATTCGGTTTTAGTCTGTTACTCACAGAAAGCTATTGTACGGCTTCTGAACACTCAAAATAGTGCAAAAGTTGAATGGACTACTGTTATGGTGCTTTATTTTAACCTTTTTAAAACTTGACGTCACATTCACTTTCATTGTACAGAAAAGAGCAGCGTAACCATTCTGCTAAACACCTCCTTTTGTGTTCCACTGGAATAAATTATTATCTTCTTGTTTTCTTTTTCTTCTCGCATGACAAATAAACTTCACACATCATTATGTAATGAAACGTAATGAAACAATTCCTTTTGTCCTAGGAGAGTTTGGGGTTTTTTTGTCTTAGAACGATGAGGTCATGTGCTTTTGAGAGACAGGCCAAAGGCTCCAATAGCGCAAAGCATTCAGGGAATGCAGGAAGCGAAACCAACACACACGCACAGCAACTCTGAGGAGGAGTTCCTGTTTACTACGGATCTGACATCAGTTTATCTATGAATCATAATTGTTATATTTTGGACTAGGAGAAGATCAACTGATCCTAGGACAGAGCAAACGGATATTTTAGATGCAGAAGTGTTTTTTTCACATAGAGATTATAGAAAAGAATGCAGATTCTGTATATTAAATTTCAAGAGGTAAAAATTCATAAAAGCCTGAATGTGGCATTATAGGACAAAGACAGATTTATTTTTAGAAAACCATCTTGTTTTACTTGTCAACATTTTCTAAATAAATTCTCTTACAAGTTTCTATAAGGATTAAACTCCCACAAAGATGCAAGTTTACATGCATGACGAACCGCTGTTGTAGTGTTTGAGATAGAATTAATTTAACATTGAGCAAAATTAGTTTCTTTAAGTAATGTTAACCGCAGATCTACTGTTCAAAGCAAGGATTGCATTACGGATGCATTAAAGTGATCAAAAGTGAAAGTGACAATAACAACATACATAATGTTTTAAAAAAAACAACTTTAAATTGTAATATTTCACAACATTACAGATTTTACTGTATTTTTGACCAAATAAAGGCAGCCTTGGGGAGCATAAGAGTTCTTTTAAAAACATAAAAAAATTATAATCTTACTAACCCCAAACATTTTAACGCAGTGTATTTGTGTGTATATATATATATATATATATACCTTTATATATTCCAAAATTAAAAATTCAACAGCTCCATTTCATTTATGTCAGGATGAAAGATTTATGCCAAGTACAAAAAGAGCTCAAACAAAAAGGGAACAACAGAAATGTTCAAGAAAAAAACCAAGCAGATTGAAATAGAGCTTGCATATAAACATGCAACCCACAAAAAAACACAGAGTGACTCGACTGTATTCTGTTTTACAGTTTGAAAGAGTACAAATCCATCAACTGTCTACGTGGGTGCTGACCTGTGATATTTGCTCTCGCTTAAACAGTATGGCTGTCACTCAACTGTTCTGCTGTTGACAGATTGACGAGATCTAAGAGTCAGAAAGCAAGCCTTCTGAAATATTACTCCCGTTCACACGGACTCATTTTACTACAAAACAGGACGTTCAAGAGGTGGATGAAGGAAAGTGATCCTTGTTATTGCTTTGAAATGTACTCCCTTTGACCCCGAGGACTACTCTGAATATTCTAGCCTCGGTGTCAAATACTGGTTTACAGCGGGACTGAATGAGCAAACATTAAGGGTGGTGTTAATGTGAGCACACTTACCGACTTTAAGGCCTGCAAGTTGGGCAGGACTGTCTTCGTGAACTTTGCAAACAAAGGTGCACATCTCCACCGAGTTCTCACTCTGGTGATGCAGTCCGTATGTCTGCAGGCACACACACAAAAAAGGGCGGTAAACAATGCAGTCTCTTGTACAGGGAGTAATGTTATTTATAGATATGCATTCAGATTATACTAAAGTAAACAAAATGAGTCATAGTCTAGCTAGTAAAGGTGTGCCATTTTCTTCAATACTAGGACTTTGTTTGACGTAGCATTGCTAAATCAAGTCTGATAGCATTTCCACAGTGGCTTAACACCATCATGTGCTCAATGACTAGAATGTTGACCTGCACAGCTTCACAAAGACTGACTGACAGACTCAATGGCTTAAAGGAAGCTGAACGTGAGGAACGGCTCCAGGTTGTTTACACACATGCAAATATCCTTGATAAACAAGCCACACCGAAACTAGGCCGTTTGAAACACCTGTGTTTTGTTGTCATTTCAATGTTTGATCTGTAAGCAGGACAACTCCAAGCCATCTGACGGAGGCTAAAAAATTATTTTTGGCTAATCAACATTTTATATTTGATGACCATTTCTGAGCGTTAGCAAGAGATACAGGGTGCTTTCTTGGGAGTAAAATTTTTACTTCCATTGTACTGTAATGTGGAGCATTTCAGAGTGAAAATGATATTCAGTCATAAAGGAAAGTTTTCCAAAGTGAGCAAGTTACATTAATATAATATAATATAATAGAGACGACATAGACAAAGCGGTTTGCAAATTAGATGGATGCAAATTAGATTAGATGGATAAAATACAAAATATTATAACACAATAAAATATAATATACCCACGACCCTTACATAGGAAAAGTGGTTTTCAAAATGAATGGATACCATTGTTTTAAACTGTAAGTTATGTTAAAAAAATGTTTTGCAGTAGCAATAAAAATGTAGTTTGCACCATTAAGATCTTATACAGTTCATCTATTCTGCAATAAAACAACTCAAGTCAGCTTCAGTGGACTAGCACCTGGATCTCTATGTAAACTGTGAAGGATGTTAAGTGGCTATAACATATCATAGTGGTGTGAGATATTTTAGAGAACTACACTACAAATTCTAGTTAAGAATACAATGCAACTCTACACAGCAAGAGTTTAAAACAGAGCAGGAAGAGACTCAGTGAGACGTCGATATGCAAAACATCAGCTTCAGTTTCCACCATAACTGTAATCAGTAGCTCAGTTCAAGACGCACGCGCTGATATACTGATGCCATTTGGAAGGGCCATTTGCATGTTGGTGCCTTTGGTATCAGTGGTATCTTTGGTTTACTGACGTCTAGATTCAAATGAGTGTCTCAATTTGCTGTTCATTTCCTGATGTGAGTGGAGCCATAATGTTTTTTTGTAGCGTGCAACATTTTCAGCAGTCACCAAAGAGACACGCTGTGGCTTTAAGACGCTCTCACGATGTTCTCTTTCACAATGAATGACAATTACTTTAGTGTGTAAAATGCGTAGGAACGCCTGATTTCAATGCCTTTGCGGATGACTGATGTTGGTGCTCATTTCCTCAACTGAAACCCAAAGGTGTTGTTGAGGTTAACAGCTTAGTGAGCGGAGGACACTGTTAAACCTCATTTTGTCAAAAGAAAGGTGAATCTGACTAAACTTTTGATGACTTCATAAAGATTGTCTTAAAGGGATGGGTTCACCCAAAAACTAACATTCTGTCATCATTTACTCACCCTCTGGGTGTTACAAACCCCTATGACTTTCTTTCTTCAGCAGAGCACACAAGATTATGTTTTAAAGAGGGCTCACACTGCTCCTTACCATTACAATGGGGACTGGGGCTGTTAATGTCCAAAAAGGCACCATAAAAGTGGTCCATATGACTTGTCCGCTATATTTCTAAACCCATGCAACCCAATTTATGTGAGAAACGTACTGAAATTACAGTCACCATTAATTTCATTGTATGGAAACGAGCCTTTTTGACATTCTCATTCTGCTATAAATAACTCATTTAATATATTACAGAAGAAATAAGGTAATACAGGTTTCAAATATCACGATGAGGAGTGTATTTTGAAAACATTCTTAAGAAAACATCCCTTTAAAGGGATACTCCACCCAAAAATGAAAATTCTATCATCATTTACTCACCCTCAAGTTGTTGCAAACCTGTGTGAGTTTCTTTCTTCTGCTGAACACAAAGCAAGATATTTTGAAGAACGATTGGAACTTTGGCACCATTGACTTCCATAGTTTCTTTTTTTTCTACTATGGAAGTCAATGGTGCCAAAGTTCCAATCGTTCTTCAAAATATCTTGCTTTGTGTTCAGCAGAAGAAAGAAACTCATACAGGTTTGCAACAACTTGAGGGTGAGTAAATGATGACAGAATTTTCATTTTTGGGTGGAGTATCCCTTTAAGAAAAGCCACTATCATGTTAAATACCTGATGCAATATTGTATGGTCTGAACTCTAGAGAAAAACAACTCCCAATTATCACTCATTTAGGAGAAAAAATGCAAATGTCTATCACTGAAAAGTGAATCATTTATAAAGTGTTTTCAAATGTTGGAATAGTCGGCTTCCTTCCTCTTCCCACACACTCCAAATGCTTACACGAATCTCTGAGACACCAACCGCCACAGGAGATGCAAAGTACAGACATATTTACATAGTAGATACGGCCAACCGTATCCCCACTGCTAAGAGACTCAAACAATGTTGTCTACAGCACGCCATCCCAGAAAACAATTCATTTCTTGATATGTCAGTGACTCTAGCTATCATGTGATGTCATATCCTGTACTAGAGGACAAGGCAGGAAAGGAGGGGTTCTGCATCCTGCATCTGAACTATTATACATTACTAAATATAAACTAGCTATCTGGCACATATATCACAACAAATGACATACTGCTTTGAAGCATAATAAATAATTACTAACGCAGAGTGCATAATCGGTTCCACATTGAGGAATCAGGCTTTGATAAAGTGAGTGTTGTGAGGAATAAATTACAAGACAAGCTAATTTTTTTTCTTTTTTTTTCTTATTATATGTGGAGAAACCTTAGCTAATACTTGCTCCTGTTGAAATGAGGTGCCATCCACTGAAGTTTAATCACAAGTGAGACCTTGACGCTGAATATAACAGCAACTTAACAATGAAGAGATCCTTCATCCAAGGTCTTGCTTTTATTTAATCCTGAGCAGCCCACCCACATGTACAAGCTAAGGGGGCGTTTACAAGACCCTGTTTTCAACTTAAAATAGAAAACGTATGCATGATTTTGGCCACTCATTTAAATGACAATGGCATTTTGGGGGCCTGAAAATGCTAACTTGTTAAAATGGGTTTCACTTTCAAAATGCACATTTTTGAAAACTAAACCGTTATCATCTCTGTGTAAACTACAAAAACGAGAACTTGTGAAAACATCATGACATCATGCGCATGTGTATAACGTGCTCAGTCTATAGACATGTAGATTTTCTTTACAAAGTGACGTCGCCAAAAACTGGCCTGGCATGAATACAGCGCTCTTAATCGTTTTCGTGGATCCATGTGAACGGGGATTGTTTTGACAACCTTGTCGTTGGTATGCGGAAAAATGCAAAGGAAAAATTGTCACCTATTTTAAGGTGTCATTGTTACATTGTAATTATATATTTAAGTACTGAGTAATATTAAGCAACTACATGCACTTACTATAGGGTTAGGGCAGGATTAGGATTTAGTTGAGAGTTAGTTGCATGTAATTATGCAACAATAATAATAACATTTAACAAGGACACTGTAAAATAAAGTGTTACCGTTTTTAGTACATCGTTTTCATGTAAACGTACCCTAGATCACTTTAGAAAGATTTTGCATTATTTTACTCCAGTTCAGAAGCTATGTACGAATTCCGATAATATGTCTTGCATACAGAGTGTCTAAATCCCTCTTACCTGGATTTCAAAGCCAAAGGCCTCCTCCTCTTTCTTCTCCAGGATCACCGTTTTCCTGGAAAGAAATTCAGCAAAACAGAGGGGATTCTGTTAATATGAACAGAGGAAAGGGCTGCTGTACAGAGACGGTCTGACTGGTTGAGTCTCAATCCAAGACCTTGACTAACTGTCAATGCTTACAGGAACAAGGATGATGAAAGATCACAGAGGAAATGCATAATCGACCCATGATTCTGCTATTTTGGAGGATACGTCTTTATGGCGTAATAGGAAACGTGCGAAAAAGACAAAAAAGTAAAAAAGTTTTGTTTCTCAATAATAATCTCATGGCATGAATTACTAGAACAGAGGTTCACTTTAAACTAGAGATAACTTCCGTGTTGATAATACTAGTTGTCTAGACAATTAAGCAATCTCAGGATTCAAACGGGTAAATCATGAAGACATGACAAGACCCCAGTTTTTCTGAAAGCACTCATACATTATTAGGCACTCATGAATTATGTATATGCATTGCATATACTCAACAATAAAGAGACACATACACAGACAGTGAAGAAAGATCATATCTGACCATCTGGCCGATCCAACACTCACTCCCTTTTTATTCACAGATTCATTCAGGGCTCATTTCATTCATTCAGTCCTCTTGAAACAGGCGATTTATATAAATCTATAACTGCGTTTGTTCAAAGGGGGTTATTTTTATTCCATGACACCTTGTAAAAGGCGTGAATGACTATGGTCTGACGTTTTCATAACTGTCTAAATAAATCGAGCGTATTTTAGGGAAATAACAATGACGCATGCATACGCCAATCAAATCTGTGTAGGTGGAAGAAAAGCAGGGGCAATCTTACCTTTGTGGTTCTGGAGACTGTGAGAGGGGCTTCCATTTTTGCAGCCCGCCGTTCTGTTCAGCAAGCCAGATTGATGAGGAGGAAAGATAGAAAGACAAGAGAAAGAAAATTAGTGTCTGTGACTTTTGGAAGATCTGCCCTTGTGCACTTGAAATCCCCCTTGATCAACAGGTCTTTAGGTTGTGCTCAATGTGTTCATTTCACACATGTAGTTTAACAGCTCGGATGACAATCGCAGACATAACCTGAAATGCATGTCTGTCCGACGCCTTCTCTGAACCGTTCCCGTCACGGCTTTCTCCGGTACATGCTCTGATCTTATTTTATCTCCAGACTATAGGTTTACTTATTACAGTAAATGTCTTGGAAATTATCACAAGGATGATCTAAGATGATGTAGCAAGATTGGCGAATACAAGTTCTGGCATGTTCTACAACAATTGCCCTGATGTTCCAGCTGATAACCCAACACAAAACAACACACAACGGATATAAGTATTCATTCATATTACGCCCGCTCTGACAGACGCCCATTCAATCGGGCTCTACCTCAACCCCATCAACTTCAGCTTTCCACAAAGTGCACTTTGTGCAAGAACCCTCCTAAACTAGTAAAACGTTGGCTTTCTTTATTTTCGTACTCTTTGAGAATTGTCGTAGGGTCCCCTCAATGACTTCATTTATTTCCATGTAACTAAGAGGGTCCCTCGGGGGCAGTTGGATGGAGAAGCAAAGCTCTCTGTCGCACAATACCCTGTTGTGGCCCGGCGTTTACGCAGAGTGTAGGAGTCATGATACAGAGAGCTGTTCATAAACCTACCCTGCCCTACAATCCCAATCTTGCCGCGTAGTACTCCACTGTGAGTAAGCCTTGTTTAGGACTAATTTCTGCAAATTAAAATACAGCATTTAAATGTTGCTGGCTAGTTTGAGTCAAGCAGCTGTAAAGAAGCTGTTGTTTTTGACCTTAAAATGGCAATTGAAAAATTGCTGTCATACCACACAACTCATCTAAAACACAGCAACAGTCTTTAATGGATAGTTCACCCAACAATGAAAACTCTCATCATTTACTCACCCTCCTGTCATTCCAAACCTGACTGACAAAGCATTGGACTCATTGACTTTCAATGCATGGACAAAACCAAACTGAAACAAAACAGAAACATTTTTAAAATATCTTCTTTAACGCTCCACATAATATCAGTTACTTTATTCTGGCAGACGGTATAAAGTACCTTAGGGTGAAAAAGACCAAATATAAGACGACTTTTATTCCAACTGCTATTGGTATTTTAAATGGAATCTTAAGATAAATCTTATGTTTTTCTTAAGAAATTGTGTAAGTCTTTATGTAGTAGGTTTTAAAACTGATGTTGTGTGTTGTATTTTTTTAATTGTTTGTTGAGCCTTTGTCTAGAAGACAATTTTCTACCCCTGTGGTGGGGATTGTCATTTTTGGGTGGACTAGGCTATCCCTAGAATATCAGAGCCATAACACATGATACTGTTGTTTTGATTGCCACCAGACAACTACCCGGAGATATCAAGATCATATCAAAGCTATTTGAATTTCAAAAGCCATTTCATTACACGGTCAACAAAAAAACCACACCGACCCCCGTTTACTCAAGCTTTTTCAATTCTGCAGTAAATTCAGTTCCACGCCACAAAGGTCACAGACAATCCGGAGGGGGCTTCTCTGCCCCGGACACTTGGTCAGGTTCCATAAAACGGCTTGGCTGGCCACACAGGAGGTGGACTGTTAAAGAGCAGGCCCAAAATTCAGCAGGGACACATACGAGCTGTTTACAGTTACTCAAGAGAGTAAGACCTGCGTGTGGGTGGTCCAAAGGCACCGGGAAACACTTTACACCATGAGTGACCATGAAACACACTTCAGTGTGTCTAAACCTAAGGGCCAAAACCAAGCAGGCTCACATCTGCATGGTCAAAGCCCAGGAGAGAAACTGGTTTTGCCAAAGCCGAGTACAGTGTAGAGGTGAGCAGCAGATTAATGTCTCTCTTTGGATTTGGAAGGAAGTGTGGGATACTTTATACTATATACCTAGGCCTATAGTCTATACTATTACGAATTGGAGTAATAACAACAACAATACAGGGAAACATGTTCAGATTTGTAAATTAATGTAATGGGGGGGTGGGGGAATTATTATTATTAATAAATGTTAAATATAAAACCATTCACGTGACAATATTTTCCTCTTGTTGGGGTCACTGTTAGCTTAAAATGCTATGCATTTCTCACTTGAGAATGAATGGTTGCTACCTAAACTTAAGCATACAACCTTTGACCTTGAGCAAATTTTTGGCAAACAATGAATAAAATAAGTTAGTTCTTTACCACAGAACACGGGTGTATCCTGCTGAATGCACAGTGGTATCATGGCATTGCAATCTCTACAATTTATGCCATATGAGTGATCTGTTGTATGAACACTAATGAATCAGTCATGCAGAAATGAAAGTAGTCACTCCTAAAGATTCACATGACTGCTTACATGCAAATGAGGTTCTTCAGAGGAACCGTCACATGCTGCTGAATCGTGCTGATGGTCACAGATGCACACTGATGGACAGGTGTGAATGAGCGCAGGTCTAGAAATTCGTTACATGCCAAGTAAAGTGTGACAACTGCTTGAACCATTCAGGACAAGACTCAAACAAGGACATCATTGCTTTAACTACTCCCCTTCAACAGTGGTTGTTAATCCTGCAGCACTCCAGCATTGCACATTTTGAATGTCTCATACCCAGTTCAGAGCATCAAACAATGTGCTGATGATATGAACCAGGTGTGTTAATAAGGGACACATCCAAAATGTGCAGTTCTAGCTAATGTTCAGCCAATGATGATGGCATAAAGTCAATAAGAGAGGTAGAGCCTGTAGGGGTAAAATCTTTGCGTGGCAGGGGGAGCTGCCACTCGACCGGCCACGGAATTATGCGCCTGCCACTGCGTTATATGCGCCTGCCACCCGACCAGTCACAGATATATGCGCCTGCCACTCGACCAGTCACAGATATATGCGCCGGCCACTCGAACTTACACAATTATGTAAGATAGGTTTTCAAACCAAATGCAGCGCATAACCCCTGAAGCCAGCGGGAGACAGAACGGTATGCACTATAGGTCAATATTCACCATTAACCAAACGCTTTTCGCCTGCCTCACAACTACTGTAGGCTACTCGCTTTTTTTTTAAATGAGCACCAGTCTCGTGACATAGACTTATGCGCCTGCCTTAAAATCTCTCACTGTTTTAATATACCAGACGAACCCACAGGCAGTGCAATACTTATCTTATTTATGTCTAATTGTATCTCTTTTTTATTCGCTCTTTTTGCCCATAGAGAGCGCGTCTCTTGGCTCCCGCCAGGACTACTAAAGCGTCACACCAGCCAAACGATCTCTCTCTGTATACACCTATCAGACACTCCTAATGGTACACGAGAACATGCATACAGTGTAAAACAGATCTTATCTACCTATTTATCATCTGATCTTATATTTTATTCGCTCTTTTTATGCGTATGGGAGTGCGCTCGCGTGGCTCTTTTAAGCGTCGCTCCAGCCATACCCGCCACACGATCTCTAACTGTTTACACCTATCAGACACTCCTAATGGTACATGAGAGCACACATACAGTGCAATACAGATCTTATCAACCTATTTATCATCTGATCTTATATTTTATTCGCTCTTTTTATGCGTATCGTAGTGCGCTCGCGTGGCTCTTTTAAGCGTCGCTCCAGCCATACCCGCCACACGATCTCTCACTGTTTACACCTATCAGACACTCCTAATGGTACATGAGAGCACACATACAGTGCAATACAGATATTATCTACCTATTTATCATCTGATCTTATATTTTATTCGCTCTTTTTATGCGTATCGTAGTGCGCTCGCGTGGCTCTATTAAGCGTCGCTCCAGCCATACCCGCCACACGATCTCTCACTGTTTACAGCTATCAGACACTCCTAATGGTACATGAGAGCACACATACAGTGCAATACAGATATTATCTACCTATTTATCATCTGATCTTATATTTTATTCGCTCTTTTTATGCGTATCGTAGTGCGCTCGCGTGGCTCTATTAAGCGTCGCTCCAGCCATACCCGCCACACGATCTCTAACTGTATACACCTATCAGACACTCCTAATGGTACATGAGAGCACACATACAGTGCAATACAGATATTATCTACCTATTTATCATCTGATCTTATATTTTATTCGCTCTTTTTATGCGTATCGTAGTGCGCTCGCGTGGCTCTTTTAAGCGTCGCTCCAGCCATACCCGCCACACGATCTCTCACTGTTTACAGCTATCAGACACTCCTAATGGTACATGAGAGCACACATACAGTGCAATACAGATCTTATCTACCTATTTATCATCTGATCTTATATTTTATTTGCTCTTTTTATGCGTATCGTAGTGCGCTCGCGTGGCTCTTTTAAGCGTCGCTCCAGCCATACCCGCCACACGATCTCTCACTGTTTACACCTATCAGACACTCCTAATGGTACATGAGAGCACACATACAGTGCAATACAGATCTTATCTACCTATTTATCATCGGATCTTATATTTTATTCGCTCTTTTTATGCGTATCGTAGTGCGCTCGCGTGGCTCTATTAAGCGTCGCTCCAGCCATACCCGCCACACGATCTCTAACTGTTTACACCTATCAGACAATCCTAATGGTACATGAGAGCACACATACAGTGCAATACAGATATTATCTACCTATTTATCATCTGATCTTATATTTTATTCGCTCTTTTTATGCGTATCGTAGTGCGCTCGCGTGGCTCTTTTAAGCGTCGCTCCAGCCATACCCGCCACACGATCTCTCACTGTTTACACCTATCAGACACTCCTAATGGTACATGAGAGCACACATACAGTGCAATACAGATCTTATCTACCTATTTATCATCGGATCTTATATTTTATTCGCTCTTTTTATGCGTATCGTAGTGCGCTCGCGTGGCTCTATTAAGCGTCGCTCCAGCCATACCCGCCACACGATCTCTCACTGTTTACACCTATCAGACACTCCTAATGGTACATGAGAGCACACATACAGTGCAATACAGATATTATCTACCTATTTATCATCTGATCTTATATTTTATTCGCTCTTTTTATGCGTATCGTAGTGCGCTCTCATTCCTGCGTAATAATCAAGAAACTTCACTGCCGTACCATGAGTGCAGCAGGCGTAATGATATGACGCAGCGCCTGAAAATAGGCCACCTTCCGTCAACACAACGGAACTATTTTCAGGCGCTGCCTCATATCATTACGCCTGCTGCTCTCATGGTACGGCAGTGAAGTTTCTTGATTATTACGCAGGAATGAGAGTATAGTTCCTAGCCATATCAGCCTAGAAAATCGCAACTTTACATTTTCCGTCGGTCTTAGTGCACGATGTAACTACAGAAGAGTCAAGTAATAAATAGGAAAAATATCGAAACTCTTTGGTCATTTTTTTTTTTAGAAATGCTAATGGTCTTGTCCACTCCAATGATGTATGCTAAGCTATGCTAAAAGTGGTACCGCCAGAACCGGAGATCAGCTGAATGGATTCAAAAACGGTAAAACTCAACAGTTTAACTCTGGGGGAGTTGTAAAATTAGCCTATTTCCAAAAAAATTGGAGTATCCCTTTAATAGAGCCACGCGAGCGCACTACAATACGCATAAAAAGAGCGAATAAAATATAAGATCAGATGATAAATAGGTAGATAATATCTGTATTGCACTGTATGTGTGCTCTCATGTACCATTAGGATTGTCTGATAGGTGTAAACAGTTAGAGATCGTGTGGCGGGGATGGCTGGAGCGACGCTTAAAAGAGCCACGCGAGCGCACTACGATACGCATAAAAAGAGCGAATAAAATATAAGATCCGATGATAAATAGGTAGATAATATCTGTATTGCACTGTATGTGTGCTCTCATGTACCATTAGGAGTGTCTGATAGGTGTAAACAGTGAGAGATCGTGTGGCGGGTATGGCTGGAGCGACGCTTAAAAGAGCCACGCGAGCGCACTACGATACGCATAAAAAGAGCGAATAAAATATAAGATCAGATGATAAATAGGTAGATAATATCTGTATTGCACTGTATGTGTGCTCTCATGTACCATTAGGAGTGTCTGATAGGTGTAAACAGTTAGAGATCGTGTGGCGGGTATGGCTGGAGCGACGCTTAAAAGAGCCACGCGAGCGCACTACGATACGCATAAAAAGAGCGAATAAAATATAAGATCAGATGATAAATAGGTAGATAATATCTGTATTGCACTGTATGTGTGCTCTCATGTACCATTAGGAGTGTCTGATAGGTGTAAACAGTGAGAGATCGTGTGGCGGGTATGGCTGGAGCGACGCTTAATAGAGCCACGCGAGCGCACTACGATACGCATAAAAAGAGCGAATAAAATATAAGATCCGATGATAAATAGGTAGATAATATCTGTATTGCACTGTATGCATGTTCTCGTGTACCATTAGGAGTGTCTGATAGGTGTATACAGAGAGAGATCGTTTGGCTGGTGTGACGCTTTAGTAGTCCAGGCGGGAGCCAAAAGACGCGCTCTCTATGGGCAAAAAGAGCGAATAAAAAAGAGATACAATTAGACATAAATAAGATAAGTATTGCACTGCCTGTGGGTTCGTCTGGTATATTAAAACAGTGAGAGATTTTAAGGCAGGCGCATAAGTCTATGTCACGAGACTGGTGCTCATTTAAAAAAAAGCGAGTAGCCTACAGTAGTTGTGAGGGAGGCGAAAAGCGTTTGGTTAATGGTGAATATTGACCTATAGTGCGTACCGTTCTGTCTCCCGCTGGCTTCAGGGGTTATGCGCTGCATTTGGTTTGAAAACCTATCCTACATATTGTGTAAGTTCGAGTGGCCGGCGCATATATCTGTGACTGGTCGAGTGGCAGGCGCATATATCTGTGACTGGTCGAGTGGCAGGCGCATATATCTGTGACTGGTCGAGTGGCAGGCGCATATATCTGTGACTGGTCGGGTGGCAGGCGCATATAACGCAGTGGCAGGCGCATAATTCCGTGGCCGGTCGAGTGGCAGCTCCCCCTGCCACGCAGAGATTTTACCCCCTCTCGGTAGAGCTCAACTTGTGTGCCTTTAAACTAATCAAACTTGAGTGGCGCATGCACACTGCTGCTTCTAATAAAACAAACCCACAGGACTGTTGTTTCTGAGCTTAATTAAGGCCAGACAACATCATACAATACATTTAAGATGTTCATGCATAGAGGGCAGGATATAAAAGAGGCTAACAAGTGTAAAATTACTTCTAAAGTTTTCACTCTATAAGCTGATAGAAGTGTGAATTCAGTATTAATTAACATAGTGGAAACTACAGCTCAACCTTGCTGAAGAAAAAAAACAAACTGGTGTGCTGGTCTAACATTAGTTTGGCCAGACCAGCTTAACCAAGCTAAAATAATAATAACATAGTTTACAATGTTTTAGCAGGATTGCCTTAACAAACAGTCTTCGCTTGTGTCTAACCAGCTGAAAAGTGTCCAGAACTCTTCGAAAACCACCCAAAATACCAGTTTGACCATAGGGAGGCTGACTAACGTTAAGCCCGGAAAATCCATTTAAGGCTGGAATAAAAAGTTTTTTTCCAGTTGGGAATTAAAAGGTAGATACACATATCATAAACTGATCACTTGTGTGTAAACTGCCAATGTACATGCAACGTTAAACACTTTTAAGGACTCAAATACAGCGTTTCGAATCTCGAAAGTAAAATGAAATGCTCTAACCTTTTTAAAATTCCTTGGTAGGGTCCCTCCAGAGTAAGCGAGGGTCTTATAATTATACACCTCAGTGGAGTTTGAGGGTCCACGGTCCACAGTACAGCTGTCCGATTTGGAGGAGGTAAAGTAGATATCTCCACTGTCATGACACAACGAACCGCTGTCCGGCTCTTTTGAGTTCAGCTTCTTTACGCGTCGGAAAGTCATATTTTTCATAGTCCGCGTGTCACTCAATAAACAAGTAACACTGGATGAAAGAAGAGCGAGAGATGAAAAGTACTGAGTGTGGGCGAGGAGACACCCACTCGGCAACAGCCTACACTTTGACTTGTGCAATAATCCCCAGCTCTAGCTCAGCAGCAGCAACAGCATCTGCGGACAGACTCGTCGAGTTAGGAAAAGCACATGTGAAGGAAATACTTGAAAAGGGGAGGGACCTAGCGACCCTGCTATCTTCAAAGGGGGCGGGGATACATAATTGGCGCGATGCGATTGGCCGTCATGCACAGAAGCGATGTAGGGCCTACTTTAGCCACGAGCCCACGACCTTTACTTGAAACGGTTTTGCAGGTAGAATTAGAAATATAGTATTAATTACGATTACATTTTAAGGCATTTAGTAAACACTATTATCAAGAGTGAATTGATAAGACTTAAAACGTACTAGTTTGACAGCTATTTATTAAAACCAACTTTGTGGTTTTGTATGCGAGTTGATAAAACTTACACAATAAACATATTTCCAGTACATTTTATTTGTAATATTTTTGTGTTTGGATATTAAAGTAACTTACATCTAGCCACATCATTCAACTCCTCGGTTCATTCGAATCACACATGTGACATGTTTATAAGACAGGCTCTTAACTCGAATCATTGAGTTGTTGACCGAGAACCACTCGGGCCAATTCAGTCCGGATAACATGACGTACGCGTTTGTGAACCGATTCATTAAAAAGCTTCGACTCTAAAGAGAAGACGAGCACGTCTACTACTCACAATCAGATATAGCTAATATATGCCAGGCAGAGTTAGTGAAAGTTTATTGAAATTGGTGAACCTTGAAAAGGCAACCCGAATATAACTAAGCAATATTTGCAACATTTTACTAAAAAATATTTTAACATTAATATTGATATTATTTTAATATTTGGGTTCTTTTATAAAATTATATGAGTTAAGTATGAGAGTTTTCTCGTTTCAGTTGAGTATTTTGGTGTAGGCCTGTACATAAAAAAAAAAAAAAAAAAGTTTTAGTAGCCCAGAAATGGTAGGCCTATGAACCCGATGCTTGATCAGGCTGGTGTAAAATTATTCAAACTGATGGCGCCCTCTAGTGCTTATATGCAGTAATACATCTTATGAACTTTGTGGCAAATGATGAAAAAAGAAGAAGAGATATAACATTGTTGAAATGTTTATTCAGACAAATTCACAAAATTAATAGATCCTCTACATTCTCAGGAACAACATAGAATTAAAAAGCTTGCCAGAGGGCCATTCATTTGCAGTGTGCAATCTGAAACCTTTAGGATTTTGTCCATTGAGTTATCAGAACAAAATAGAATAACAGAGAACTATCACTATTGAAATGTATGAAATGTTGCAAAAACAGTACACAACTGACTCAATACATTCTTGATACAATAAAACCTAATTAACATACCATGGATTTTGTTTTTAATATATTATCTAAATATTACACCTATTATTTTAGGTGTACACAGCAAATAAATTAGATGTCTTATCAAGCTCTTCAGATTTTGATTTGCTAAATCTAGTCATTTTTCTGGCAAAGAGCACACTGGCACCTTGGATTAATCTTGACATTCATGATTAGTAACTGCAGTAGCAATAGAAGATTTAGGCTTAGCTGAGAAAAAAAATCAAAAAGCACAGTGCAGAGTTAATGCAGATCTGTTTCTAATCTTACAGCAAAGTCACTGTGCATCAAACCTTCATTCACTGCATGCTTTGGAGTGATGCACATTTTTATGTATATCTACATAACCTTAAAACAAATATTCAACATATGTACTTGGAATGACCTGTGCATTTGAAATGTATATCACAGCAAAAAATGCATGCAAAAATTAATGCATGACCTACTGTTTAAGAGCACTACATTTCTTTAAAGAGAGCATAATTGATATTAAGATGGACAAGTGAAAAGTTTGTACCTCATGTAAGGATAATCTCCTAAAACACAAGGATTTGAGTAAGTAAACCTTAGTAAACATTTGTTGCAAAATTTACATAATCGCTTTAAACTTTCACTGGCTTCAGAGTCCTTGTTAATGCACGCACAGTTTTGAAGCGATATGGATCATCCTCAAGCGAAGGTAAACTCTATTTCAGGTTGAAAAAGCCAGATTTGGCTTGAGGGCCCATCATCATACTAGCTTGGTTCTTATGTGTGATGCGAATCTGAGGAAGTAAAAGAAAATGGTTAAAATAACAATAAGTTAAATCTCATTTAATGCTGAGATGTTTCTACTGGTCCAAACTAAAGGTTAAATACAAGTAAAATATCCTTTGTTTCATTTAGGATGACTATCTGTCACTTAAATTTAAACCGAGTCTTTAGTGATGTTTCACAGTTGAAGGATTCAGTATTTTTTAATCATTTGGAAACAACACTCATGATGCGTAAACACAGTTTATGTCGCTTATTAGATTTGTAGAAACGCACATTTTAATAAGACTTGCTTTGGTTGAGTGAATGAATCAAATGACTCACTCATAAAACACAAAAGACTCTCACTTCTCACCACTTACAATGTAATCTGCAGAAAGGGTCACTGAACAAATCAGTGTATGAATCTGAATAAATCTTTATAGTGAACAGATTGGAATGACTTGTGTAGAAAGGTAGTATTTTGAAAGTGGTAGACACTTACGGTACAAGGTGGCTGCATCCACGGTTCTCCATCTATCTGCATTGGCAAAGGCTTCTTTGTCCTATAAATGAGTGTGCATTTTTGAATAAAACACTTGGGTAACATTTTTAGAAACAAAAACAACGAGTGAATGATATAATGCACAATTGCTTGGGGTGACTAAACACACATTCAAACCACAAGACCCAATAATGGTTAACAATGAAAAATGACAAAAGAATTAATGGGATGTAAATTGAATATTTGACTTTTGAATAAAATGCGAATGAGTATGTAAATGCAGGGAATGCAGACTGACAGTGATGAACATGTCTGAGCACGTCTTGACTTGTTTGTGCCAGTAAGAGCTTGTTTAAAGACATCCATAGCTGACATTTGTTTGTAACCGTTTGTCTCACCTGATGGTAATCTGAGATGTTTTGGCAAGCCGGACTGCGCTCTTCAGCCCTGTGTATATCTGTCCCATCTCAATGGCTCCTTCCAATCCCACCAACTCCACACGTTTATCGCTCATGTCTGTTTGGAGACCTTAGTGTTAGTGTTTTGGATAACCTTCATATCAGTGCCCCTATTATGCTTTTTCGACAAATGACCATTTATGTCATGTAATATAGCTGCTTGTGAATGTAAAAGGTCTGTGAAGTTTCAAAGATCAAAATGCACAATAAATGGCGTTATTGACGCCCAAAAGAAATACATGATTCTGAACTGCCTGAAACAAGTCGTCAGTCATTCCAGTCTTACTTCCTGCACAAACCAAGGTAGGTTTACAACAATTTTGCATAATGCCAGCCTATGGTCTTCAGTTGTAGCTGAGGCCTGGAAGAGTTTGGTTAGTGTTGTCAACATGTTGTGAAGACACTATTTTTCGGCACTGTGAAAGCAAATCCACATTACGTGCACTTCCAAAGGATGAGGAATTGATACGGTAATCATTACTGTTCGTATCATTGTGTATACAAGTGCTGAGAAAGCCTCCGGAGCTGAAATTCAGATATGGTAATGAGTGTTTCGTTTCCGACACGCTGTACACCAATCACATCAGACTGGGTCATCTAACCATCTAACCAGTAGAGTAGGCTCTCGGAAAGAAGGTTAAAAGATGTGATGCTGCAGTGCATATTATGAGAAAATGAAAGTGTTTTTTTTACCTTGGATGCATGTAAACATATTGTAGGAGCCATCCAATAAAAAATTAGGAACTTTTAAAATAGCATAATAGGGGCTTTTTTAGGTCTCTCCCTGTATATAATGAAACGTACCTTGCGGGCTCACTTTTAAGACTTCAGGGTCTACTATGACCTCAGGCAAGTCCTGGTCCGCTCTTTCACTTTTTTTGGCTTCACCCCACAGGTTGGAGCCACCGTGCATGCTGGGAATGTTGAGGACGGCAATTCCCTCCAGAGAAAGACAACTGAGATCCAACTGAGTCCCGCAACACTGGATAAGGCCAGACAGAGGCGCTGGGATCAGTTCCGTTACTTTTTCCATTTTAAAAATGATTTCAAGGCGAATACGTGCATAAGCAGATTTTTAAGTAATGAATTGCATTTGCTTCATATTCTGAATGAATGCCCCTGATCTGGTAGATTAAAATGGGCCTGGCTTGAGCTCTGACAGACGACTAATACCAAAAGCAGGTTAATAACAGGTGTTATCACTCTAATGCCCTTACTGTGCTCATGCTTTTTTTTTGATGGGCTTTCAGCACAAGGGTAGCTGGAATGATCAATAACCTCTTTGAACTCTCATGGGAGTGTGGTGATCTTTTTTTCTTACCTCAATGGTGAGACACTCCTTGAGTTTTTTACAAGATGCTGAGATTGTCTCAGACGTGGCAAATTCAAAATACCACAGTTTGTTCTTCATCCTGAAAGAAAGATATATATGCATGAAGAGGAAGCCACAAACTCATACAGATCTTTTTTAGAACATTTCCTCTGGAGTTTTTTTTATGGCTTATGTTTTTTTGGTCACATGGTTCCACTCAAATCAAAAATGGTCATTAAATTGGATGCTGCTAAGCCAAACTTCTTTTCAAAAAAAGAAAAGAATAAAGTAATAAATCAGGCTATTACATGTATACACTATTACATGTGTCAGTAAGATTTTTTTATGTTTTTGACAGTCTTTTCATAAAAGTGTTTTATGCTACAAGTAATATTGTGAAATATTATAACAATTTTCTATTTGAATATATTTTAAAATGATTTTTTTCCCTGTGATAACAAAGCTGAATATTCAGCATCATTACTCCAGTCTTCAGTGTCACATGATCCTTCAGAAATCATTCTAGTATGCTTATTTGCTGCTCAAGAAATATTTATTATTATTATTATTAATGTTGAAAATGGTTGTGCTACTTAATATGTTTGTGGAAATTGTGAAAAAATATTCAGGATTCTTTGATTCTTTGAAAGTTCAACAGAACAGCATTTATTTGAAAGAGATTTAAAAAAAAAAAAACAATGTGACGTTTTTTACTGTCACTTTTGATT